AATTGCGTGTTTTAGTGTCCGTTATATACAATTACTTTTCCTTTGACGCCGTGTTTGCTATTCATTCACGTAATAAACAAAATGACACAAAACTTCTCAATCATTCACACAGTTATCGACTCTTTTCTCATTGAAAAATAAATTTTTGCTAAAATTCTAATTAAATGACAAAAAACAATACTTATATTTGATATGCAATATACAGTACACTAGAATATTCTACAATATTGAACAGTAGAGGCAATTCATTACATCTTAATAGCAGCTAAAATAATATTATTTTAATTATATTATTCAGCATTTTATTAGCGGTTGAATATTGAAATTTTAATCCGTTATCGCAATCAGAAATCGAAAATTTACTAATCATTGTCATGACTGTCATTGCAAAACATTTAGTACATGGTTATTTCAAATATGCATTTATTATTGATAGATATTCATTAAAGACCTACATTAACTTCTAATCATAAATCTAATTCAGATTGATGCAATTGCAATCAATGCAATCAATAGACTCATATTGATGCAATTGCAGATAGTCCAATTAATAAAATAATTATTATATTTACGCTAGTTAATTTTTATGTATCGATTATAATCACATTAATAAGATTATAATTTTTAAATGACAAAAATAGTCGATTTATAAGATTATGTTACATAAACTGTACCACAGGTATAGCAGGCATTCAGTATACTGTATACAGGTATTAATATTGTCTCAATATAGGGGGCAATAGTAGGGGGTATTAGTGATAATGCGTAACGTTGTTTGTGAAGGCATTATGCGGTGATTATTACACAATAACAACAAACAGAGAGTGAAAGGCATGTCTTCAACGGCAATAACATTGGCATCACTTCCACCGCCAGTGTTGGCCACCTCTGGACACACAGCCACTCATGAGGTATGTATTGTCACTACATGTGTGTCTATGAGAGATGAACAGTGTGTGTGTGTGGCTATAGCTGTGTGTCTATGATATGACTCTCGCATACAATGATTAGCCGGTCTCTCATTATATGGCATAACATATAGTAATTGCATTTTTGACAGCCTTTTAGACACTATTTATATTTATATAAACAATGAACGCATCCAATAGTGTACCAAAAATGTATGCCATATATACCTGTACTGTACAATGTATACACCTAGTGGTGCCATTGGGGCTAAATTTGGTGTAGTTTTTGTAATTGAATCAAATATTCTTACGCTATATAGCTATTAGACCTGTAATTCATAGACAATGTTATATGAATACGAGTTGGGGTTCACTATAACTAGTGATATAATGTTAGTAAAGGGTTGACATTATTGACGATTAAAGTAACGTTTGTTGCGATTAATATTATAATTAATATTTGGGTTAAATGAATATGGTATGGGAACTGTATTGGTTCTATACCTGTACCGCACAGTATGTATATTTATAGGGAAAATACACAGGAAAATAGTGTGTATATTATGTACATATTGTTTATAATAATTTCTAATGAATGCATTTTATTATATTTTGGCAGACAATCGCTGTTTAGGGCAACGGATCTATTGTTGGATACATTGCGACATCACATGAAGTATTGAATCGAGTATTAAAAGTACGCATTATAATAATTTCTAATGAATGCATTTTATTATATTTTGGCAGACAATCGCTGTTTAGGGCAACGGATCTATTGTTGGATACATTGCGACATCACATGAAGTATTGAATCGAGTATTAAAAGTACGCCAAAATAGTTGAGTGAAATAATGCCACACATTAACTGTGTTAAGAAAGCGGACTACTGGACCAATTCAAGGCCACCTATCGCCAATTTTAAAGTAAGTTTTCCAATTCACCATGGCACTAATTCTAATCTACCTAAAAAACTTGTCTCCCCTCTCAAATTGATATGTAAATCTGGTTTAGTCCTGCTTTAATGGACTGACCTATAGGTGTGTTTGTCGTGGACTTTGACTTGACTTATGCTGATTTTAAATTAATGCTAATTTTATGATAAAATTTACTAATGATTTAGTGTTTATATTTTGACAGCAATTATGCACGTGATTGTAAAGTCTGTTCCCTATCATTCACGCCAAGTGTATATTATTTACAATTAAAGGCTTTCAAACAGTTTATTTCAATATACTGTACATGTCGGTTAAAATATAATTGCCGACACTGCTGCTACACGAATCATATGATTAGGGTCATCTTAACCAAGTTTTAATTTAAATATAAATAAATATTTCACTTATAGATAAATATATTTCAATATTTAGTTTTAAATCTAGAAATTACTGGATTTTTGCATTATTTCCAAAAAACAATCTTTTTATAGCATTTTTAAAGAAAATAAATTTTCACTTTTTTAGTTCATTTCACAATTTAGTTATCATTTGATAAGTATATGAAAGACAGTAAAATGTGGGCAAAAAAGTGCATAAATGCAAGTCTCAAGTTCTGCAGTTTCCGGTTCTAAATATATACTGTATTTAATGTGTTTATTAATGTTTACCTCAATTTACACGACAATATAATATGCGATAAACAATATAGTGATCAGTGATCCCACACTTTGATCCCATCATTA